CCAAGTGGCCAGCAAGGGAAGGAGCCAGCCTGTTGCTTCCCCTGGGTCTGGCCTCCATCTTGTCAAAGGGCTTTAGGAAAACCGACAGGAACCCTGGAGGAGGGGAGACGTCTGGGACTCACCCGGCGTCTGTAACGGGGCGTGCTGCCCAGCCTCTGCCCAGCCCTGGGCTCGGCCGAGACACACTGGGGGGAGAGGGGGGACCCCTCCTTCCAGCCACCACTTCATTCCTGGAATTTCTGGGTGGTTTGTGGGTCTGACTCGGATCTGTCGTTGGCCTCTGCTCACAGTCTGCGTTTTCCTTGCTAGTTCTGAGGAAACGCAGAGCCTGGGGAAGCCCCCGGCCTTCCACAGTCAGCCGCCGTCCCGTGGGCAGCCTGCCGTAGCCAGACATGCAGCCTGGATGTGGGGTAGTGGGGCAGAGGGCCTGATAGGGGCTCCCTGCAGGGGCCGGCGGATGGGCGGGGGCCAGAGGGGCTCCTCGGGCCTCGGTGGGTGAGCCTCAGCCTCCTCATCAGTAAGATGGAGTAACAGGGTCAGGGCCCAGGTTGCTACTGGCACTAGGCGTTGGGCTGAGCGGTACTCAGCCAGCCCGGAGTGAGGCGGGAGTGAGCCCATCCCAGTTAAACCAAGCTGCTGGTAGCATTCAATTATATAATCTTGCAATTAAATAAGTTTATGTTTCTGTGCCGGCTCTGGGGTTGAAATCAGAACCTTGCTTTCTTGCTTAGCTTTTTTGCTCAAGGCTGGCACTCTACCACCTGAACCACAGTTCCACTTCTGGACCTTCCTGCTTGGGCTGGCATTCAGCTCAATCCTCAGCCTCCCGGGTAGCTGGGATTCCAGGAGTGAGCCTGGGGCGCGTGGCTTCACATTTCCTGTCAGAGCTTGTGCCGGGCCGTGATTGAAGCGCACAGCTGTGGAGCTCAAACGCCCTCTGCCTTACAGATGTGCACTGGGGGACCCAGAGCAGCTGGTGCTCTGTCCCAGGCTGCACAGCTGGTGAGTGCAGTGTCAGGAATCAAACCCAGATCTCCTCCCCCAGGGTCCGAGGCTGCAGGCAACCACAGGCGTTGGAGTTATCCAGTCTTTATCTGGCGCTTCTGATCTGGGGGTGGGGAGCTATGCATTCACCCCGTAAGTATTTCTTGAGCCGCGGGGTCAGCAGCAGCAGACCACAGGTCTGCGGTGAATACATTTCCAGGAAGCGGAACCCTGGATGAGCAGGCGGAAGGCTGCTGGTCCCGAGGGAGGGTAGGCCGGGGGCCGTGGGATGGGCTATGGGAACGGCATGTGCTGCGATGACAGCTCCGTCCTAATTCTCCCTCCTGGCAAACTTCCTCAACCTTCACGGAGCAGCTGCAGGGGGAGGGGGGGGGAGGAGAGGAAGGATGACGCAGGAGGCCGCCTTGCTCTCCTGCTCCGGAGCGTCGTGATCCCCTGCACCCCAAAATACCCACAGAACCTTCATTTGAGCAGCCCAAGCCCCCTGCCCCCCCCAGCCTCCCCCTAGGGTCCTGGTTCCACCTTCAACTGCCCCGGCTCACAATCTGGTTAACATCCACAGGACTCATTTTCTGTTTGGTTTCATTTTGCTTTGTTGGTCGTGGGGCTTGAACTCTGGGCCTGGGCGTTGTCCCTGAGCTCTTTCGTTCAAGGCTGCCTGCGCTTACCACTTTGAGCCACAGTGCCACTTCCAGTTGTCAGGTGGTTAATTGAAGATAAGAGTCTCACAAGGACTGTTTGACTTGGGCTGGCTTCAAACCACAATCCTCAGATCTCAGCCTCCTGAGCAGCTAGGATGACAGGTGTGAGCCACCAGCGCTCACCTGGAACTCGGTTTTATTGGCTGCAAAATGAGGATATAATCAGCCCTTCCCTGGCAGAGCCCCTGAACAACCAGGTGCCGGTGGCTCACGCTTGTCATCCTAACTATTCAGGAGGCTGAGATCTGAGGATCACAGATCAGAACTGGCCTGCCCAGGAAAATATCTTCAATGAACCAACAGAACTCTGGAAGTTGAGCTGTGGCTCAAGGAAGAGTCCCAGCTTTGGGTGACAGAGCTAAGGGCCGCTCAGGCCCTGAGTTCACGCCCCGGCACAAACGCCCTGCTCAGTGGACAGCCTGGCTCCGTGTTGGCCCTGGGCTGGGAGAGCTTCGTTCTCCACATGGCCTCACGTGTTCCTGGGAGATCGCGGAGCTGTCAGCCTCTCTGTGGTCCCCTGGGCTTTGTTTTGCAATGACACAGCTGAGGTCTGCCAGAGACGCTTCCGGCCCTGCTCAGCCTGGGCGGACAGCGGGCGCTTCCGCAGTGGTGTTGCAGGAGAGTCGAGGTTGGAAGCGCAGAGCTGTGTGGGGGGAATGCTGGGGCTCCGCCACCCACACGTGAGCCACTGCCCGGCCATCTGCAGCTGAGTGCCTGGCCCAGACATCAGGTCTGATGTCGAGCCAAAGGTGTGTCACCGGTGGGGATGACAGGTGCCCCTCAGAGGGGTGTAAAGGCTCTATACCCCTCTGGCCAGTACATCAGCTCACTCTCCTCCAGGGTTGTCCTGTGCGCCGGGGGGCCCGTGCCAGCTCCCCCCAAGGGGAGACAGAGTGCGTTCCTCTGGCATCCACCTACCAGGGCTGTCCTAACCAGGACCATGGCCTGGGCAGCAATGGCGGCCACCATGTATGTCCCAGGGAGCCACAGGCCACGAGCCCAAGATGAAGCTCAGGCCTCAGCCCTGGCTTGCAGCCACCTGGCTGGTGATATCCTCCTGCGGCTGTCCCTTGGCCCCACGTCTGCCTCCTGGTCTCGGGCCAGATCAGATCCACCCAGAGGACACTTTCACGGAATCCTCTCTTCAGAAGCCAGGCGTCCAAATACAGGCATGTTCTCAGCTGCTGAGGTCAGGATCTCCACATGCAAGGCTGAGCCCGTCACAGGTGCGGGCTTGCTGGGCACCAGGTGCGGGGCCGCATCCTGGAATAGAGCCATGGGGATGCCAGCCCTGCTGCCCTCAGGCCCTCGTAAAGTCTGTAAGAGCTGCGCTTGGCCGGAGCCCCACGCTGGGCCTCGGGCCTTCCCGGCACAGATCCACATCCCCTTACGCTCCAGCCAGGCCCAGCCGCTTTTGGACCCTGTGGTAATGGCCTGCTTCAAAAGGCTTGACCAAGGTCTTAGCAGGCAAGAGGCGCGGGAAGGCCCGGGAGAAGCTACAGCATTCTCTTCTTTCTTCTGTGGTCTCCCTCCTGGAGACTGCGAGCACTGAGGCTCTCTCCATACCTGAGACTTTAGAACTTCTCTTTATTTATTCAGTGTGTGTGTGTGTATGTAGAGTGCCATTAGCAAAATGTTCTGTCTTGCTTTTTAAACTTACCATTGCATTATGTATTCATGCCTACCAACATAGGACCCTAGCTGTGCAATATTCTACCACACTACTCTCTCCCATGTCTTGGGTTCGCCACAGCTCCTGCTGATCGCCCTCTGAATGATGCATGTCAGTCAGGCCCAGCTTATCATCTGGCTGGTCACCATGGTCCTGGGACACGATGCCGGGTCTCTGTCTCCGCCCCTCACACTCCCAAAGCGCAGACCAAAACAGATGGAGTGCTGTCACCTTGCCGGGGCGCACACCGGGGACATGGGCCCCCACACCCACGTCCCAACAGCATCAGCGTGCTTTTGCGTCTCTTCTCTGACCTGGCCTGCGATGGCAGCTAGAAATGTCACCATGTACGGTGGCATGACCCTGGAGAGAGAGCTCGGGACGCTGGGAATTATGCATTCTTGGTTTGACTGCCAGATGGCCTGGCCAGTGCACAGATGCCCTCCCTGCCTGGCCCTGGTGTCTGGCCCTGGAGACCACTGCCCTCTGGAGATGGGCGTCCAGCCCGTGACAGGGCAGCTGAGCGTCCCCCTGCCAGCCGGCTATTTGTGTGTGCAGGCCCCCGGCAGGACTGGAGCGTTTCCAGGGCCGGATGGGAGCTGCAGAGTTCTCATGGCCCTGGGCCGCCCGCCCGCCCCCTCGTGCCAGCAGTGTGCCTTCTGGGATGTCTGTCCCAGCCGCGTCCCCTCCCTGCCTCCCTCTCCCTCGCCCCATGGCTGCTCTCCGAAGCCCCGCCCTCTGGAGCGGTGTGGTGCTACAGCGTCGCCCTCCCCGGACAGCTGAATTCTGGAGTCCTGGCCCCAAGATGCCACGGACGGGAGTCAGCCCCATTCTGCTGCGCTGCGTGGGAGCTGCCGCCCCTTCCCTCTCCCGGGGCAGCTGAGTGAGGCTCTATTCCCCCTCCCCCCGCATCAGGGGCCACGGGCCTGTGGGCCTCGGGAGTGAAGCAGAAGAAGGCAGGACCAGTAGCAAGTGTTTGTCAGATGCCAAGACGGGTCTGTTGGTGGCCTGTGTGGAAGGGAGCCGGGGTCTTTGGAACCATTGGTTCAAGTCTCCCACGAGAAGGCGGGACCTGGGCCTGCTCATCAGTAAAGTGGGTGTGAGCTAGCGGTGGGCCTTCTGCGCCATCTTCCTGGGGCACCAAGGTGATGGAGCTGACGGATGGGAAGAGGCCATCCCCCGTGCGGGAGGACTTCACCTGCAGGGACTGTCCTGTCCCCCGTGCAGGAGGACTTCACCCGCAGGGACTGTCCTGTCCCCCGTGCGGGAGGACTTCACCCGCAGGGACGGTCCTGTCCCTGCCCTTCGCACTGGAAGCATCATAAGAGTGAGGGCTCTGCGCTTTTGCAGACACACTCGATGTCCTTAACCAGCGGATCTCCAAGACAGACGATTCCTTCCCCAGGTGCCCTGGGACCAGGCCCCCCGGTCTCCCCGCCCCAGCCTGGGCCAGGCAAGGGCCCCTGGGCACGGCAGCTTGAAGGCAGGGCCAGGAGCGCCCAGGAGGCCTGGCCACGCCCTCCATCCCCAAGGCCCCGGTTGCTGTGCTCTGTGTGCTGGGCGCTGTCCCTGGTTGGGTACTAACTGGGCTTCTCCCTGCTTCCTGTCTTCCTCCCAGAGCTGTGTGAAGAGCCCAGGCTGCAGGTGTGGAAACATGAGCCACGTCGCCCTCTCCCTGGGGCTGGCCCTGCTGCTGTGCGGGGCCCAAGGCTTCTTCCTGCCCAATGCCACGCACCTGGAGACACTGCTCCGCAAGTACCAGCCGGCCGAGCCCCACACACGCGTGCGCCGGGCCATCCCGCGGGAGGACCGCGAGGAGATCCTCAGGCTGCACAACAAGCTGCGCGGCCAGGTGGACCCCCCGGCCTCCAACATGGAGCACATGGTGAGCGGTGCGGCCCCCACTGGGGCTGGGTGGGACAGCGGCCCGGGGCCCGATCCCAAGCCTCGGCCGAACACGCCTGGCTTCACCCTGCAAAGGCTGCCTTGCCGGTCACCTTTGTGACACCTGTCTCCCTACCCAGAAGCCAGCCCTGCTTTTGGTCAGCTGTGGAGGTAGTTGGGAGAGCTTGTGGGTGGCCCTCGGGTACCAGTCCTCTCCACGACACCGAGGTCTCCAAGGACCAGCCCTGTCCATCTGGTGTGTGTGTGTGTGTGTGTGTGTGTGTGTGTGTGTGTGTGTTGCTGGTTCTGGGGCTTAAACTCAGGGGATCTTGCACACTTACTTAGCGTTTTTTTTCTTTTGTCGGTCATGGGGTTTGAACTCTGGGCTTGGGTGCTGTCCCTGCACTCTTCAGCTCAAGGCGAGCGCTCTACCACTTGAGCCACAGCGCCACTTCTGGTTTTCTGGTGGTTTATTGGAGATAAGAGTCTCACGGACTTTCCTGCCCGGGCTGGCTTTGAACTGTGATCCTCAGATCTCAGCCTCCTGAGTAGCTAGGATGACAGGCATGAGCCCCTGGTGCCCGGCTTGCTTAGCTTTTTTGCTCAAAGCTGGTGCTCTCCCGAGTGAGCCATTCCACTTCCCACACTGTGGCTCACTGACGTCCGGGTGGGACATGGTGGTGGCAGGAAGCCTCAGGGCCAGGTCACTGCAGTTCTGATTTCTTGGCTGGTGGCCTCGGGTTTGTTGCTGACCCTTTCCCAAGCCCCAGGCTTTGGTTTGGTTTCCGTCTGCCACACGCCCAAGGGCTTGTTGCGGGAATTAAGGAGGTCAGCCCTGGAGAACGGCAGATGTACAGCCAGGGCGGCTAGCTGGTGCTGGAGGAAGCCGGCGCCCTCGGCACTGCGCCAGCCCAGGCCTCCTTTGAGGCTTGCTGTCCTGGAACCTTTGCACCACCCTTTAAGAGATGAGAAGACAGGCCCAGATAGGCCAAGCCGGCACCCGAGGCCACAGCGCCAGCAGCGTCTCGGCCGGGCCTGCCTGGTGTGCACACACGCCCTGAATCCACTTCTCTCCCTGGAAGGAGGGGCTGAGGCTGCTGCCCTGTGGGCAGGACACGAGCCTGTCCTGGACGTGGCAGGCAGGCCCAGGGGGCCAGGGGCAGGAGGGGCTGGGGGAGGCCGGGGGGCTGCAGTCCCTGCCAAACCAGGCCTCGTTCACACCTGCAGTCAGGATGCTGCACGCTGCTGAGGGACCCTCCCTGGCCTGTGGGAGAACGTTGGTGTATGTTGTCACCATTGGGGTCCCTCTCCAGGCAGTGGGTGTCTGAGCAGGGGCCTGGGAGGGAGACCCCCCCCCCCGCCGGAGGCTGAGGGTGGAGGCTCTGCCCAGAGCAGGAGCTCCCACCACACCCGGGCCCGGCTGCAGGGTGGAGGTTGTGGCTTCCGGCCGCCCCTGGGTAACTGGGTGCCCCTGCTCCCTGCCTCCCTGTTCCTGACCCTGCTGCCCGTCTCTCCTCCCCCCTGCAGACCTGGGATGAAGAGCTGGAGAGGTCGGCGGCGGCCTGGGCCCAGGAGTGCGTCTGGGAGCACGGGCCGTCCAGCCTGCTCGTGTCCATCGGACAGAACCTGGCTGTGCACTGGGGCAGGTATGCGCCCCTGCGTGGGGCCGGGCGCCAGGCAGGGCCTGACCACATGGGGGTGATCCTGTGTGTGTGTCCTGGACATCAAGCTGCAGGGGGTTGGGGTGGGGGAGGGTGTGTGCATGTGAACCCCTGTGTTGTTCTGGGGGGTCAAGCCAAGCCCCCAGCAAGGCGAGTATGCGATTGGGCAGGTAACGGTACCTTAGGCCTGTGGGGAGACTGAGGCAAGGGGCCAGGAACACTTCCAAGTAGTTGGCAAAGGACCTGGGTGGCCAGCCCAGGCCTGAGGACCGACCCAGGGCTCACCGCTGCCGTGCAGGGGTGAGATGTGACTGAGCTCTGCCCACAGGTACCGCTCTCCCGGCTTCCACGTGCAGTCCTGGTACGACGAGGTGAAGGACTACACCTACCCCTACCCGCATGAGTGCAACCCCTGGTGCCCAGAGCGCTGCACGGGGGCCATGTGCACCCACTACACGCAGGTACCCGGCCAGCCCACGCCCCGCCGTGCCCGGCCCGGCCCCGCCGGGCGGGGCCCTCCCTTCACGCCGTCTCCTGGAGTTCAGCACAAGGCCCTGACCTGTGTGGGGATTTCACACGGCGGGCGCTTCTGCTGTTGGGTGTGACGTGCTCATGTGTGTGCTCTGGAGATGCGTGTGTTCACGCTGTCCGGGCGCGTGGAGGAGATGGAGCCCTGGCCTCCAGCCAGCCTGGGGCCAGCCGCCCGGCCCCTCGAGCGGTGACGCGTACCTGCTGTCTTTCCAGATAGTCTGGGCCACCACCAACAAGATCGGCTGTGCCGTGCACACCTGCCCGACCATCAACGTCTGGGGCGACGTGTGGAAGAATGCCGTCTACCTCGTCTGCAATTACTCCCCCAAGTAAGACCGAGCTGCCGTGGCTGTGGGGCTGTGTCACACCACTAACGCGGGCCTCAAGGGAGAGCTCTAGGCCATCTCCCGTGACAAGGGGCGGGTAACTCTGCCGTGTCCATAGCACTCGGGCCTTTTCTCTCTCCACTGTCCCATTCTTTCCTCCTGGACCCAAAGTGGCTGCAGAGCACTTCCCAAGCAGAAAGAAGTAGCCTGGGAGGAAAGGGAGGTCCCCTTAGCAGTTCCAAGCCCGGCACACTTTCCCCTGGTCACTGGCCGGAATGGGACCAATCATAGGTGGGGATCGTGTTGCCCCGCTGGCCCCATTGGCTGTGGTGTGGGCAGCCCGCAGCCTCTGCCTTGGTGGTATTTTCATCTTTCCTCCAAAACATTCCATAGATAGCACCCAGGAGCCGCGTACACAGTCTGGACTGGGGGGCATGCAGAGCCTCCCGGAACCCCCGTGCCCTTAGTGCTCCCCTTTGTCCTCATCGAGGCTCAGGCCTGACCCTTGGCAGGCTGCGCGTTGCGGTCGCAGCCTGTGGTTTTCGGGCTGGCCGCTGGCCCGGCCCGGGGCGCTGCCCAGTGGGCTGGGTGAGGGAGGGAGGCAGGAATGAGCTCGTTTCCTTTGGCCTGGAGGGGAGCCCTGAGGTGGGGGGGGAGTAGAGGCTCCACAGGCCCTCCGGTGTGGCCTGGGTGTGTGTGTGGGGGGAGGGGGATGAAGTCACTATCGGCCGTGGCTGGGACGATCCTCGCCATCACCGCTGGGGGGCGCTGGGGTCTGCGGGGCTCCGGCCGCAGTGGGATTCCTGGGGGCGGGGGGAGTGAGGGACATTACTGGCTTTTCGAGGTACTGGGGTGTGAACTTGGGCCTCCTCCACTGGCAGGGCGCTCCCCTCTGCCCTGTGTTGAGCTGGTGATTGTGAGATAGCTTCTCACCGCCCAGCTGAGTGCCTGGGCACAGCATACCCCGCGAGGCGCCCCCTCGGCCCGTGGCCCAGCCGGCGCACCCCACAATGCCCGGCTCCACCTTCCCACCAGGCTGGTCTCCAACCACGACCCTTCCGATCTCAGCTTCCCGAGTGTCCAGGATTACAGGCCTGAGACACGTGCCTGGCAGACCCAACACAAACCAAACCCAACCTTCCTTAGCACGGTCCCCTCTCCTTCCTGGGAGACGCGTGACCTGTGGTGGGCGGGCCTGCGTGCTCAGGGTGTCCCTGGCTGGCTGTCCCCTGGCCAGTTGCTGGGGTCGGGCCTGGCGGCCACCTTCTCTCAGGCTCCCGTAGCCTTCTTGGGTCTCAGCTGACGGGAGCAGGAGCCCACCCTCACGACCTCTGACTTCGTCCTGATTGCACGTGGGGTCCTCCCCGGGGGACCCCGCTGCCAGCCCTGACTCCAGCAGACACGAGATGTGGCTTCAGTGCTGACGTCCTTGTCTCCTTCCATGCAAAGTCCGTCCAGGACAGATGGCTGAGCCCAGGCCTGGCTGCTGCCCACTGTTCAGCCCCAGTCTGGCATCTGCTCCTCTCCCAGGGCTGACGAGTTCCGAGTGAGGTCTTGGCATTGGAGTTCCCGGGGCCTCCGGGCTCCCTGGGCTCCCTGTGTGTGCCCTGTGCGCGCCTTCTTCCCCAGCCAGCTGGGGCTGTGCTCGGGTCCTGGGTCCCGGGGAGCGGCTCTGCTGACCCCCTTGCTGGTCTGTCCTCAGGGGGAACTGGATCGGAGAAGCCCCCTACAAGACCGGCCGGCCCTGCTCCGAGTGTCCGCCTAGCTTTGGAGGAGGCTGCAGGAACAATCTCTGCTACCGAGGTAGGTGGAGTGAGCGTCCCACCCCGGAGAGCCCTCCCGAGCCACGGGGCCACAGGTGAACGGGAAACAGAGCTCCTCCCCCCTCTGGAGACCCAGATGCCCAGGGACGCCCCATCCGCGCTCTGGCCGGACGCCAGAGATCAGTGCTCATGGCCATAGACCACGCCTAACAGGGGAGATGGAACAGGAAATACACAGCAAAGGACAGTGTGAGGCTCCAGACGAGCTCAGGGGCTCGGGTGGGGCTGTGCACGCACACGCACGCACACACCCACGCACGTACACCCACACCCACGCACGCATGCATGCGTACACACCCCACACACACCCACACCCACGCACGCATGCATGCGTACACACACACCCACGCACGCATGCACACCCACACCCACGCACGCATGCATGCGTACACACACATACACACGCACGCATGCACACACGCACACACCCACACCCACGCACGCACGCATGCATACACACACACCCACACACACGCACCCACCCACGCACGCACACCCACCCACCCACGCACGCATGCATGCATACACACACACCCACACACGCACGCACCCACACATGCACGCACACACACACCCACGCACGCATGCATGCGTACACACACACACCCATGCACACACGCACCCATACACACGCATACACAGTGCCCGTGGGGACTCCCTTCTAGAGCTTGTCCCTGTCCCTCACCTCGTGTGTGCACCAAGCCCCTCCCCGCGCTCTCCCCCACTGCAGCTCTGACTGCAGCTGGCCAGCAGGTGGGAGGCCCAGGCACGCTGGGGGGGGGTCAGGGTGTGCCCACCCCTGCCTGCGTCAGCATCCTTGGAGGTTTAGGCAGCGTCCACGTTACCTGCTCTGGTGACTAGCTCGCGTTCTCCCTGCCTCCTGCGACTCTCACCTTGGGAGTTGATATTCTTCTCTTCTCCAGGGCCAGGGCTGCCCAGAGTCTGTGGTTGGGATTTGTGTTTCTTGTGGCTCCATCGACGCATCTTGCAGGGCAGTGGGTAGGGTGTGGGAGGCAGATGGGGGCGACCCTCTTCCAGTACTTTCCAGTACTTTCCCCAACAGGCAGGATGTGGGGTCGTCTGGTGGAACTAGGGGAAAGACAGTGATCACTGTGGCTTGATATTTATTTTTTGTGCCAGTCCTGGGTCTTGAACTCAGGGCCTGGGCACTGGTTTTGAGCTTAGTGCTCTACCGCTTGAGCCACAGCTCCACTTCCAGCTTTTTGGTGGTTTGTTGGATGTAAGCCTCATAGACTTTCCTGTCCAGGGTGGCTTTGAACAAGAATCTGAGATCTCAGCCTCTTGAGTAGTTGGGATTGCAGGCGTGAGGCGAGCCCTGGGCTTGCTTGATGTTTTGATTTCTTAGTGAGATGACATCGCCACACGGGCTGAGAATTGTTCAATGCTTGTTTCTTTTTGTTTTCTTTTTTTTGGGGGGGGGTCCAGTCATGGGGCATGAACTCTGGGCCTGGGCACTGTCCCTCAGCTCTTCAGCTCAAGGCTAGTGCTCTACCACTTGAGCCACAGTGCCACTTCCGGCTTTTTTCTTTTTGCTTATGTGGGGCTGAGGAATTGAACCCGGGGCCTCAGGTATGCAAGGCTAGCGTTCTACCACTGAGCCACAGTGCCACTTCCGGCTTTTTTCTTTTTGCTTATGTGGTGCTGGGGAATCGAACCCGGGGCCTCAGGCATGCAAGGCAAGCACTCTATCACTGAGCCACCTTCCCAGGCCTCGTTTGTTTTCTTTAGGAGACAGAATTCTCTAGGGCCTGGATTATCACTCCGTGAATTTTGCTGAGCAGCTACTGTGGGTGGCTGGGTATTGGGTGCAGGCTGGATTTACAGCGGGTGGAATCACAGCTGTACGCATGCTAGGGGTCTGAGGACGGGGTGGGGCCTCCCTTTTAACCTCTGTTCCCCATCCTTTCTCCTCTTGGCACAGGGCTAGCGTGGGGTGAGGCGGTGGGAAGCAGCGGAGAGCCCCCAGTCTGGACAAGCTCCCTTCTGACACCTTTAGCTGTGCACACACTGACACCCAGCTCCCCTCAGTGAAGAGAGCACGTTACTTTAGCAATGGACCGAGGGCTGAGGGGTCCATGGGACCTAATGACACATAGAATTTAACTCTCAAACACAAAGAGGCCTGCAAAGGACGGCACGGTAGCTCATGCTGCAATCCCAGTTTACTCAGAAGGCAGAGACTGAGAGGAATGTGATTCAAGACCAGCCCGGGCAGAAGGTCATGGAGACCCATCTTAACAAGATGGCACAGTGGTGCACACCTGCGGTCCCAGCCACACAGGAGGCAGGCAGGAGGATGAGAGGCTGAGGCTGATCCCCAGACAAAAAGTGTGAATACCTAGCTGAAAAATAACTCAAAAAGAGCTAGAGGGGTGATCAATGGTAAAGGGCCTGCCTAGAAAGTACGAGGCCCTGAGTTCAAACCCCGGCACCAGAAGAATTTAAAAATCTTGCAGTTTCCAGGGGATCATTCTTAATCTCATCTATTCATGCATTTTTGGTGCTATATAGTCATGGGGCTTGAACTCTGGGCCTGGGCGCTGTCCCTCAGCTCTTCTGCTCCAGGCTAGCACTCTACCACTTGAGCCACAGCACCACTTCCGGTTTTCTGGTGGTTAGTTGGAGATAAATATTCTCATGGCCTTTCCTGCCTGGGCTGTCTTTGAACCACAATCCTTAGATCTCAGCCTCCTGAGTAGCTTGGATGACAGGCGTGAGCCACTGATACCTGTCTCGTGATTTGATTTTACAGTGGTGTGTAGTCAGAACACATGCAGTCAAGCCATGCTTGGATGTGTGTGTGTTTGTATGTGTGCTGGTCCTAGGGCTTGAACTCAGGGCCTGGGCACTCTTCCTGAGCTTCTTTACCCAAGGCCAGCACTCTACCACTTAAGCTTCAGCTCTACTTCTGGGTTTTTACTGTTTAATCAGGGAGATCAGTCTCATGGACTTCCTGCCTAGGCTGGCTTTGAACCACGATCCTCAGATCTCAGCTTCTTGGGAAGTTAGGATTACAGGCGTGAGCCACCAGTGTCTAAGCCATGCTTTGTTTTGTTCTTTGATTTGCTTTTCTCTTTGTGGTGGTGTGAGGGCTGGGTGCAGGGGTGGGGGCTTCCCGCCGTGGTGATGGGGTCTTCGCGCACACGTATAGGTTTGGTACACTTTGGACTTGGGGTATTTCTGCCCAGAGCTCTGTGGAGGGTGAGGAGCAGCTACTGTAAGACAGCCAGCCCGCAGGGACACACTTCAGCTCATTTTGTGATGAAGCCATGGAGCACCCAGAAATAGCTCTCAGGCTCTGCGTGGGCTGGAATTCACAATTTATAGTTGTATTCCTCCTCCTCCTCCTTTTCCTCTTCTTTTTCTTCTCTTTTGGCAGTACTAGGATTTGAACTCAGGGCCTCATGTTTGCTAGGCAGGTGCTAAGCCACACCTTAGCCTATGGCGGTCTTTCATGATGAACAGGAATGAGCCAACACTTCCTTAGTATAATTTACTCCGTTTACTGTAGATGCCTTAAAGTGTGAATCCTTGGCTGTAGCTACAGCAGTAAGAGTACAGTGTGTGCTGGGGTGGGAGTGGGGGGGTTGGGGGGAAGGGAGGAAGATGGAGGCTGGTGAGCAATGCCTTCCTACCCCAGGGGCTGCGTCTGCCTGGGGGCCGGGTAGGGAGCCAGGCTGCTCACCACCGCTAGCCCACCGCGCTGGGGTCCAAGGCAAACAGCAAATGGCGGCCCCCCCCCTTGCTGGTAAAATTCCACCTAACTGCCCCTCTCCGCCCCTCTCCACCCCTCGCTGATGAGGCAGCTCTTTGAGAAGCCAAACCTCCACACGAGCTTGGTTTTGAAGTTGCTTTTCATCAAGTGCGCTTTGGTTGACCCCTCTGTTATCCTCTCTGGCCACTGTGAAGAGCCCTCCAAGCCCAAGCCGGAGACAGACGACATGAACGAGGTGGAGACAGGCCCCGAGCCCGTGGGGAAGTTTGACTGGATCTACCCCAGGGTGTACAGACCCACGAAACCCAAGAAGACCCCCTCCATCCGCTACATGAGTGAGTCGGCCCCTGCCCCCCAGGGCCCTCTGAGCTGCCTCAGAAAGTGGGGAGCTGGGGGCTGAAATCCTTCAGGTTGACAGTAGGGAGGAGGTGTGTGTATGGGGGGTAGCTGAAAAAGATATATATATATATATATATTATATATATAATATATATATATATATAGTGTTTGTGTGTGTGTGTGTGTGTGTGTGTGTCCTGGGACTTGAACTTGGTGCCTGAGCACAATACCCAAGGCTGGTGTTCTACCACTTGAACCACAGCTCCACGTCTGCCTTTTTGGTAGTTAATTGGAGATAAGGGTCTCCTGGACTTTCATGCCCAGGCTGGGTTCAAACACGAGATCTCAGCCTTCAGAGTAGCAAGGATTACAGGCCTGAGCCACTGGTGAAAGTGATCTTTTGAAGTCATTAAAAGCAGGCATGGGTGGAGGGGTGCTTGGGTGGCATTTTTCCTGGGCAGGTGTTTTAAAGTTGGACCTTTCTGGTGTCCTTTCAAAGGGGTCCTGGGTGGAAGTTGGGTCCCCCCAGGCCCCCCAGGCCCCCCTGGGGGAGGCACACATGCCCTGCATCCCGTTGGCTCACAAGCCTGTCACCTCCATCTATCAGGGCAGCCCTGAGAATCCTTGCTGTGGTTCTGACATGAGTTCCAGAACATTCCAGAAGGTTCCTGGGAGTGGGGGGCTGCCCCCTGGTTTCTTACCGTGACGGACATTTATCTCCACATCTCTCCCCTAGCCCAGGTCGTCGGCTGTGACACCATGCTGAGGGACAAGTGTAGAGGGTCCACGTGTAACAGGTGAGGGGGGTCACCTGTCCTGCCCCGGGGCACCTGCCACGGCTCCAGGCCACACCAAGCGGCCTGAATGTGAACTCAGGGTCTGCACCTGTGTAAACTGTGCTGGGGTCCGAGGCTGGAGCTGGGGGTGTAGCTTGGGGTAGAGCACTAGGCTCTGGGTTGCATGTACGCAACAGGACTAGAATCTTCATTAAAGAAGTGTTTCCAGACTGAGTAATGGAGCTACTGAAGGAAAAAAAGAAACACATGGTCAGTAATGATGAGATTTAATCAGGGTACTTAATCTCTGAGCAGCTTTTAGTTTTTGTTTTGTTTTTGTCCAGTCCTGGGGCTTGAACTCAGGACCTGCGCTCTGTCTGTCCCTGAGCTTCTTTTGCTCAAGGCTAGCACTCTGCCACTTGAGCCTCAGTGCCACTTCTGGCTTTTTTCTGCGTATGTGGTACTGAGAAATTGAGCCCAGGGCTTCCTGCATGCTGGGCAAGCGCTCTACCACTGAGCCACCTTCCCAGCCCCTCTCAGAGCAGCTTTGATTTCTCCTTGCAGGTACCAGTGCCCGGCAGGCTGTCTCAGGAACCCTGCAGAGGTGATTGGATCTCAGCTTTATGACAGTGTACGTGTGCTCTGTGTTTCTTTCAGTGGGTACATTTTAAAAAAAAATTTTTTTTTGTCAGTCATGGAGCCTGAACTCTGGGCCTGGGCGCTGTCCCTCAGCTCCTCAGCTCAAGGCGAGCGCTCTACCACTTGAGCCACAGCACCACTCGCAGCTTTTTCTGCTTATGGGGTGCTAAGGAATCAAACCCAGGGCCTCATGCATGCGAGGCAAGCGCTCTACCACTGAGCTACTTCCCCACCCCTTGGTGGGGACATGTTTAAAGGGGACTGGGTCTCTCCCAGGAGGTGTCCTCTTCACTCCTTGGTCAGAGCTGGCGTGGGGACCTGACCGGAGCAGCGGGGCTGTTGCAGGCAGGGCTGGGGCTGACCCTGAGGGAGGAGGTGCCCTTCCTGGGTGTTGGTTGGCACTCTCCCGTGGGTGACTCTTCTCCCTGGCAGCCGCAGCTGCAGCTGCAGCCCGGGTGAGTCCAGAAAGATAAGCAGCTGGGAACAAGGACCTGGTCAGACAGAGGTGCCCGCCGAGGCGGGACAAGCTTTGGCTGGCTCTTGGCGGCGGAGGACAAGAATCTCGGTGTCTCTGATGAGGATTAATTCAGAGCATGACTGCACCCCACCCCACCCACAGGCGTCCAGCATCTGCCGGGCCGCCATCCATGACGGCGTCCTGGATGACAGAGGGGGCCTGGTGGACATCACCAGGACCGGGATGGTGACGTCCTTCCAGAAGACCCAGAGCAATGGCGTGCAGTCCACAAGGTAGGGGCTCTGGGGCTCCTGCGGTGCCCCTTTCTGGTGTTGCTGAGAAATAGGGAAGAAAGCTGGACTCAGGGCTGACTCCGGCCTGTCCACTCTGGGACAGCAGGCTGGCCGCTGACTCCGGCCACCATCTCTGAGCATCGGAGTGCTGCCCCCAGACCAGGGGCTTCATCCACGGCTGAGAGCGGCTGGGCCTTCCCCTGGGCGCAGGCCCCTGGGGTCCCTGGTCGGTGTTCATGCCGGGGTCTGAACCCAGGAAGGCTGGAGACCAACTCAGCAGTGGTTGTGAGGTCGTATGAGTCACTTGAACATCACGAAACAATGACTAATTCCCCCTGGGAAAGTCTCCGCCAGCTGCAAGGAATGTCCTGACCCTCCATCTTGTCTTCTCGAGAGGCCCGGGCAGCCACACAGAGCAGGGCATTTGACGTGGAGGCCAAGGGCTTTCCAGTGGGGGCGGCTGGGTGGCCGACACCAGCCCTCGGCTGCAAGGATGGCCATACGGTGGGGTGTCCGCGGAGTGTTTGGGTCTCGAGGTGTGCCAAAGGCCCGGGTTCCAGGCGGGCCGAGTCCTTTCCTCCAGGGAGCCCGCGGCCCTGTGGGCAGCACCTGCCGCCGTGCAGCTCTGTCCCCACCGGTCTGTCCTCTCCTGAGTGCTGGAAGGGCAGGTGACGTCCCCGCCGGGGACCAGTTGCCACAGACTATTGGGAACAGGTCCTGCTGCCATAACCTGAAATAATGGGAGTGGAGGAGCGAGTCTGGATCCCACCATTCCCCACACTCATCAGGCCGCCCCGCTGTAGTGAAAGCCAAACTCCTCCACTCCTGACACCAGTAACCACTGCTGCCCCGCGTGACGTTTGAGATACACTTTATGCGTGTGAAACACTTATTCTAAGTCTGTAGACTTCACCGGGCTGGCGGAGAAGTCCTTGGTGGAAGAGGTTCAGGATCCCTTGTTCTAGAATATTCTAAGAACTGTCAAGCTCTTATGGCTGGAGAAGGGAAGTGGGGTCTGGACTTGATTCTTTAGAGGAGCAGGGCTCCTGTGTGCACTGACCCCATATCTTCCCTTCCAGCAAAGTCAAGCCTTCCAGTTCATTCAAGGTGTCCAAGGTGGAAGGTAAGCTGGCTGGCCATCAGGACCGTGGCCCATCGATCTTACACTTCCCACCGGAGCTGGGATGACAGACTGGCCTGAAAACGCATCTTTCTGAGGTCACGGGTGTGAGCCACTGCCTGACCCTGCCCAGCTTTTCCCACTGCTCGGGTGTTATTGTGGCAGGGTGGGGTGCCCTCGCCACCTCTGAGCAGTGGTCTGCCTGGGCCTCTGCTTGCAGAATGCTCTGCTCTGTAGGGGAGGTGGCTCGTCACTGACCTGGGGGCAGAAACAGCCGGCTAGCTGCCCTCACAAAGTGTGGAGTCATGATTTTCTCCCCCCTAATTACGAAATATTTTTAAGTAAATTAAAAATACAGAGAAACATCTTCAAAAATGTTTTAAGAGGGGGCTGGAAAGCTGGCTCAGTGGTAGAGCACTTGCCTTACATGCCTGAGGCCCTGGGTTCGATTCCTCAGCACCACATAAGCAAAAAGAAAAAAGCCGGAAGTGGCGCTGTGGCTCAAGTGGTAGAGTGCTAGCCTTGAGCTGACAGCGCTCAGGCCCAGAGGTCAGGCCCCACGACTGGACCCAAAAAAAAAAAATGTTTTAAGAGCATTAACTTGACCTAAGGTGCACTAGAGCTAAGAAAGTGAGTCCCCTTGTCAGGTGGCTACGGAATTCCCTGGCTGCCCCTGGGACAGACTGGAGCACGTGCTCCGCCAGCTCTGCCCAACACCTGTTTTTGTTAATGAAGTTTTTATTGGGACACAGCCACGCCCATTTGTTTACACATGTCCCGTGGCTGCCTTCTGCCACTCTGGCAGGGTTGGCTAGTCTTGAAACAGACCCACCAAGGTGGAAATGAGAAGGTTGCCAGGTAGAGTAGTAGTTAGCACACGCCTCTAAGCCTAGCGACTCCAGGGGCCGGGGGAGGGGAACCGAGAGTTCTGTGCAGCCCGGGCCACGTCGTGAGAAGCCATCACAAAGAAAAATTCAAAAAAAGGAAAAGTCTAACCCTGGGTCAGACAAGGCCAGGCGGCTGCGAGTCCAGGGTGCTGGCGCTGCTGTTGTTTGAGGAGCAAAGATTGTGAGGGAGCTTGCCACCTGCCCCAGGAGGCAGCAGCAGGGGCAGGAGGCGGGCCTGCCACTTGTCTTAGACCAGGGGCCTGAGCGGGGTGCTCACCGGGCCCCATCTCAGGGCCCTCAGCTACCCATCTGCCTACCAAGCTGCCTGGCTGCAAAGCCAGAAGCCCAATGGACACAGCCAGCACGGGGGGTCCCTGAGAAACCAAGCACTTCCCGGGCTGCCGGGGCCTGACGCATGCTCTGTGCTCCTGTTTGTAGAGCAGGACCTGGACTGCTACACCACGGTCGCTCAGCTCTGCCCATTTGAGGAGCCGGCCACCCACTGCCCGCGGTAAGGTGGAGGGGCGGCTGGCCAGGGGTCTCTTGTCTGGTGGGCCAGGGCTGTCACCTGATCTGGGCATTTCTTGGCATGGCCAGATAGGTTGTACCTGGGGGTCTGTCACTTCGAGCTTGGGCCTTCCCTGAGAAGGTTGGTTAGGAGCATTAAAAAGAAATTCCCCAGCCCCTTGGTAGGCATGGGGTCCTGGGTCCCCAAACCCTGCAAATGTCACCAAGAGCGTGCTGGTTCCCCCTTAGGGTCCCCGACTCTCAACCCTGACCTTTCTGCTCCAGAGACTCTTCTAGATCTCTGGGAGCTACTTGTCATATTTGTCCCTTTTAAATTTAGCTTACTACCTTATACTTAATGTTTTCATACTTTCTATGGATTTCTCTAGAAACAGCTAAATTTTTTAAATTGAGGTACAAAATAAAACCCACCCATTGTGAGCAGAGATTCAGTGCCTGCCCCCAGGGTGAGGGACGCAGCGCCCAGCCCAGGTCAGGCTCTGTGGTCAGTGCTCCCCTATTTGCTGCTGACCATGTCCAGTGCCGGGGGGGCAGGAAGGTGGCTCTTGGAGCAGGCCCGCCCCCTCAGAGGGGTGTCCTGTGATATTCGTCCCCAACACTCCCCTCCAGCGGAGGGACCCTGGAGGGCAAGCGTGTCTGAGCACCGTGGGACCAGGCTGGGATTAAAGTGTTCCCGCTCTGCAGTGGCCGAGGCTCAGCCAGGGCTGCCAGGCCTCCAACACTCGGGTGACAAGGACAGCCACTTTGGCCTGGGCCAGGAAGCGCGCAGAAGCCCCGGGCTGGGCCGTGGCCGCCCAGCCCTGCCGCCACCTGGTGGTCTCTTTCCAGTGCTCCTTTAGATTTAGTGCAAGAGATTTAGATTCCAGGACAAGGAAATGATTTCAGAAAAATACGAAGAAACACTTGATAGAGCACAAGGGTCCAAAATGTAAGTTTCTGACTTGCGATTTAACTTTCTAGATGAAAGACAGGCATGTCCTTTAAGATCACACACGCACACGCACACACACACGCGCGCACACACACACACACACACACACACACACACACACACACACACACGGAGATATGCCGAAGCAAAAAAGCAAAAGGGAATCAAAGACCCCAAAGAGACAGGGTAGATTGTGTCTGGGTGTCGGTTAGTTCCTCCTGGGGTACGGTATGCAGACTGATCACACTCTGTGAAGGTCACTTCTGGCCGCAGAGCGGGGCACAAGTAGGAAAATTTAAGTTTTTTTTTTTAAGAGGTCTACACAAACACACCCCCTTTCCCTGCCTGTCCCCTACTCTCCCCCTAAGAGCTGCCTTAGCCCCAAGAAGCCTGTCTGTGTCTGGCCAGATGGTTTCCGGGTGCCATTTTGGTGTCTTGGTTCCTGTGGTCGAGTGCTCTAGATAAACACAAACGGCCTTTTCTTAAGCTTGGCTTTTTCCTGGTTAGCAGCTCGCCAGCCACCCGGTCCCACCCAGTTCCAGGACTCAAAGCAGCAGTGGCCTGGCCAGGCCACCCCAGGTTATCAGCACCCCTTCTTGAAATATTCCATGAGTCACTAAAGTGAGGCGCCCCCCACCCCCCCTGCGGCCAGAAGTGACCTTCACAGAGTGTGATCACAGTCTGCATACTGTACCCCAGGAGGAACTAACCGACACCCAGACACAATCTACCCTGTCTCTTTGGGGTCTTTGATTCCCTTTTGCTTTTTGCTTCGGCATATCTGTGTGTGTGTGTGTGTGTGTGTGTGTGTGTGTGATCTTAAAGGACATGCCTTTCTTTCATCTAGAAAGTTAAATCGCAAAATTTAAATGGAAAGGGGCTGGGAAGGTGGCTCAGTGGTAGAGCGCTTGCCTTGCATGCATGAGGCTCTGGGTTCGATTCCTCAGCACCACATAAGCAAACAGAAAACAACACGGAAGTGGTTCTGTGGCTCAAGTGGTAGAGTGCTAGCCTTGAGCTGAAGAGCTGAGGGACAGCACCCAGGCCCAGAGTTCAGGCCCCACAATCGGACCCCCCCAAAAAATTTAAATGGAAAGAACCAGCGCGGAATATCTGGGTGTCTCGGTTACCCCCCTTCCCTTCTCACAAGCGCCGCTTCCTTTCCAGGATCCGCTGTCCTGCCGGCTGTCGGGACCAGCCATCCTACTGGGCCTCTGTGTTTGGAACCAAAATCTATGCCGACGTGAGTATGGGGACCCCCCGTGCCCCTCAGGTCCCACAAAGCCCGACGCCAGACTCGCACCGAGGTCTCTGTGGCCCTGGTGCCCCCCTGCAGACACTCGGGGGCTTGTGGGAGCCTCAGCGTGGGCAGTCAGGGGCTCGTGTGCCTCATCTTACCAAACCACCCTTCAGTTGGAAAGTTCCCTGCTTTACAAACTCCATCTTCCTACATGCGCCCGCATCTTTCCAGAGTCCCCCAGAACCGCTACAGAAATCGCATGCTCCCACAGACGACCCCTGTCCACCACGGTGTTGGGTCTCTTATTCTGCCCCTCCCTCCTAACTCCAACCGGGTGCTTTGCCCTTGAGCCGCTGGACGTGGCCGGTCCCTGGAGAGGTCCACGCTCAGGGAGTGAGCGGCCCTGCGCGGCTGCCCGCGGCGGGGGGCTTCCTCCAGCTCGTTGGCCTCTCGGGAGCAGCCGAGAGCTGGGGTCCTCTAGGCCAGGAATGTCACCACCGGACCAGCCTCTCTGGGCTCCTGCTGGCGGTGCACACAGCCCTTTCTCAGCTCCATTTAGTGATCCCCTTCCCCACCTCCACTGTGTCCACCTGCCTCCCATCTCTCCAGATCCTGGCACGTGTGGTCACGTGGGGCTGAGAAGCCGGACCGCCTTTGTGGCTCAGCTCTTCCCCTCCCCCATATCTTTTTTCTTCCCTCTTTATGAGGCTTTTTTCTCCTTCCGGAAAGCTGTGTAGCAAAAATTGAGTTCTCGGTGTTCAGACTTTTTTATGAGTAATCGAGAGGATGTGTATCAGTTGTGATGTGAAGTGTTTGCACCACACATTACAGTTAAAAGGCAGAGACTGTGCGTTTGAAAGTGATTTAAGAATAAAAGAATGGGTAAAGCGACTCCAGTCAGGTGCAAAAAAATAAGGGAGGAGGGGTGAGAGTCCTGCTGGTGGTGTAGAATTTAAACACACTGGATGGGACCACATGATTCCTGAAGCAAGAACACATGCGAAGAAGACCTGGAAGTCAGAGCTGCTGCTGAACTCATGAAGCAAAAAGAAACACAAGAATTTGACACTTAGAAGTAATACATAGTTACTTTTTATCCAATATTTCCTAAGTTTAGAGTCATTAAGGAAAAAAAACAACCACCCTCTCTAGGCCTCCTTGGGTGGAAAACAAGGCTCAGAATCCCCTGCCTCAAACCCCCCAGCAAAGCAGACGCAGAGGAGGGCGCGCCTCGCACGAGCACCTGCGCCCCTGCATGCCTCGCACCAGCACCTGCGCCCCTGCGCGCCTCGCACCAGCACCTGCGCCCCTGCGCGCCTCGCACCAGCACCTGCGCCCCTGCGCGCCTCGCACCAGCACCTGCGCTTGTAGCTCCGCCGCCAGCCGCAGGTGTGCGGCGAAATCCTGGGTGTGGTCTTCAAAGCATCCGCTAGGGCTCTGAGTTTGGGGGCAGAATGTGGCATACAAGAATTGCTTAGTCTGAGTGTTTGTTGAATGAATACACAACTCAAGATTACCATCCAGGCAATGCTAAAAAAAAATCTTCGAAAGGAAAGGAAAGAAAAAACACGAGGGAGAAAACGCAGAGAGAAAGAGAGTGAGAGGGCGAGAGAGCGAGAGAGAGAAGGGAGGAAGACGGCTCTTTGCTGGCCTCGGTTTCTGGGTCACTCTGGATTCTGGGAAATGGTGATGCTTTTTGGAAAATGTCTGTTTAGCTAAGAGGTTTATTTTGGGACGGAAGGGCCTCAGCACCGCAGATGCTGGCGCGCAGAGGTGCCGTCCTGGCACTTCAGCCTCTGGCTTTGCCGCATCTGGGCGGGGCAGGGTCGGACGGCTGACCTTGCTGGCCGGCGCATTTTCCAGTGTGGAATGCTGGGTAGCCTCCGCGTCCTCACCTGTTTCCCCCTCCCCCCCTACACACACCTCACCCGGTGCTTGGCTAAGCTCTCCCACCTGTGCGGGCATCCGGGCCCCACCCACGGTGCGGTGGAGCTGGACCCGCCAGGCGAGGAGGACGCTGGGGTCAGGGCCAGCCCTCGAGGACGCCGGGTTGGAGGTGGTGACAGACTCTTGCTTCGACTGGCCTGTGTCCTTCGCTGGTGGGCTTTCTGGCTCATCCAGCCCAGCTCTGGCTGTGTGCCCGCTGCTCCGGGCACTAGCTTTTCCTCAGAATGGAGGACCAAGGGCTGGCCTCCAGGCTTCCCTCTAGAGGCCGGCAGCAGACAAGTCAGTGGCACAGTGACCAGAGGCCTCCTCTCCTGCCACACTCTGGGGACACAGCCTGGCTGGCCCGTGGCTGGCCCATGTTGAGTAAACGGTGTGTGGAGAGACCCTGAGTCGGGGTGGGGCTGGGCTTTCCCCGAGCCCCGCATGGTCGGTGCCGGCCAGCCCTAACCTCGGGCCCCTGTGTCTCAGAGCTCCAGCATCTGCAAGGCAGCTGTGCACGCCGGTGTGATCCGTGATGAGAGCGGCGGCTACGTGGACGTGATGCCCGTGAACAGCAAGCCCAGATACGTCGGCTCGCTGCGGAACGGCGTGACGTCGGAGAGGTAGGGCCCGCCCTGGACACGCTCTGCCTGACGGGCACTCCCACGTCAACTCTCCAGGAGCTGACTGGGTTCTGGCTTCTTGTCTTCCTTTTGTTACCATCACACATTTGTGTAGAAAATGTAGAACCTGTAGGAACATTATTATAGAAGCCCAAAGAGCAGGGGGTGACCTGTGGCTGTCCCCAGAGGAGGAACCCAGATTTTTTTCCTTTTTTTGGTGTAGCCTCCTGGTCCCTTTACTGTTCTGTTCACTGTGTGTGTGTGTGTGTGTGTATACGAGTGTACGAGTGTATGAGTGTGCATGCACAGGTGTGTGTGTGCATGCAGGTGCATTTTTTTCCCATAAAGCTAATAGGACCCCAGTATTGGTCGGTACGGACTTTCCAGCTCTAGATGGTGCCTCTTTCTTTCTCCGTCATCTCTCCCTCTTCCCCTCCTCTGTTTCTCCCTTGCTCCCTCCCTCCCGCTCTCTCAGCTTGCAGAGGGCTCTTCCTGTGCGTTCACGTGACCATCCAATAACTTCCCCGACCCCAGCCACTCTAAGGCGCTGTCCCCAAGCTCAGAGCCTGAGACTGGGGAGTGGGGGTCAGGGCTTTGGCAGAGGAATCGGGGGACACCAGAGCAGAGGATTTTATCATTGAAGTCTCTTTTATAGAAAGTGAAAATCAAGTCCAGAATCTCCCGCGGCCCAGGTCCCCAGAGGCTGCCCCTTGCTGGCACTGGGCCACCTCCAACTTCTGGGAGCCCAGGGCCCCTGTGTGTGAGGACCTCCCGTTCCAGGGCCGCCCGGGCGCTCCTATCTCCTGGGGCTCTGCTCCCCAATTGGGAAAAAAACTTAATGAAGGGAAATCTCGCTGGTTTCATAGGCAGGAGACAAGATACTGGCCAAGCCGAGCACTGTGTCCCTTTAAGAGAAGGCAGCCTGTGCATGCGTGCAGGCGCATGTGTGCGTGTGCACATGTGTGTGCGTGTGCATACACAGAGCACAGAGCACTACCCTCGGTCACACGGGGTCATGTGGAGAGACGCATAATGCAGAGATGTAGCAGTGACGTTTTCTAGCAGTGAAGATGGAATCTGGTTGAACGAGGCAGGGTGGTCAGGGCTCCCTGTCCGCTGTGCGCTTCGCTCTGGGCTCCCGTGGCCAGCTGCCCGCACGTGGCCCTCCAGGATGGACAGGATGCTACTCCGGAGCCAGCTGTCCTCTCGCTGCCCACACTGCTAGCAGCAGGAGCCAGATGGCAGTGAGCCCTTCCTCCCCGAGAGGCAGGACACGGGGAACGGAGGGATCCAGGCCAGCCCGGCCCTCCAGGCCCCCGAGGGAGCTGCTTCCCGGGGCCTGGCAGAGCCCCAGCTGGCCCCTCTCCGGGCCTCCCCGAGCCTCCTCCCGCCGCCTCATCTTCTTTCTCATCTCCTTATCCCCTCCTCCACTTCTTTCCTCTTCCTCCTCCTCCTCCTCTGAACTTTGAGAGAGTAAAAACAAAAAAATAAGTGAACAGCCTCATGCAGTCCAGATGGGCGACTGGCTGCCGGTGGGCTGCGCGTGGTGGAGATGAGGGCCACTGTCCTGCCTACGCATGCCCCTCCGTGTCGTGTTCCCCGTGGAGCTGCGACCCTGTGCTTCTCCTGGGCTGCTTGTCTAGGCAGAGAACCCAGGGAAATCACCCAGCTCTGGAACTCAAGGAAGGGCTGAGACCAGAGCTCCGGAAGCCAGCCGGAGCCAGGCGACCCCGGTCCTCTCTGTCTCCTTCCATCCCTCGGCCAGGCGGAGTCGCTGGCCAAGGGTGGCGGGGGTTCTGCTGTGTGTGGCTCTTGGCTTCCTCTTGCAGAGCCCCATCTGATGCTGGCCTCCAGGGTTCAATCCCAGGGTAGCCAGGAGCTCCATGCTGGGGGGTGGGGAGAGGCGGGAAAGCAAGTGGGATCCGAGCAGCTGCCCCCAGAGGGCAGTGGGTCCCCTCCCCAGTCCGGCCAGCTGTGCAGTCCCGGGGACTGTGCAGAGTCTTGTCTGAAGGAAATTGTGTTTATAAATCATGGCTGGCTTATTTATCAGCACTTGAGCTCACTCAAAGTAAGCAGAGCGCCAGCGGTGCGCTGGCCAGCGGGGAGTGGAGAGCTGCTGTCTGCGGCAGGTTATTCATCGTTCATTGTGCCCTGGTGCTGTCACTGAGTTTAACCCTTGGGAGCACTTTGGCAAGTGCCAGTGTGTGTGTGTGTGTGTGTGTGTGTGGGTGTGGGTGTGTGTGTGGGTGTGTGTGTTGGTTAGTGGCTTGAACTTAGGCCCTGGGTGCTATCACTTAGGGTTTTTTTTGCTCAAAGGTAACTCTCTGCCATCTGAGCCACAGTTCCACTTCCAGCTTTTTGGTGGTTAACTGGAGAAAAGAGTCTCACAGACTTTCCCATTCAGGGCTGATTTCAAACCACAATCCTCAGAGCTCCCCTCCCTGAGTAGCTAGGATGACAGGCGTGAGCCACTGGCGTCCGGTGGGATTTTGTCTTTTCTTTTCCTTTTCTTGTGATTGTTATTATAAAGGTCAGACATACAGAGAGGTTACAGTTATATAAGTCAGGTAACAAGTACATTTCTTTTTGGACGATGTCATCCCTTCCCTCCCTGGGATTCCTTTATAGATAGAGAAGGAACACGTTCTAACATGTGGTAATAAACAGAAGGTGCAGCACAGAGCCCGCCGTCCCGTGCACAGCCCCTGGGTGGGAGGGGAGGGTCTGCAGGGAAAGGTCATCTGGTCAAAGGCTGAGAAGCTGTTATTCTTCCAATGGAAGCCAGTGCAATCACTATGGAAGTCAGTGTGGAGGGTTCTCAAAAAGACCAAACCCGAACATAGAGCTTTCTACCCTCTATGATCCTGCGCACCACATGTGGGATTTAGGCAAACGTCTGCTTGCCGGGAGCCTGCAGGGCCCCTGAATCACTCACAGGAGCCACGTGGCGGAAGCACGCTGATGCACACCCCACTGCAGATGAAGGGGGCCTGTTTGAGTTTTAGGCAGACATGAACCTGGCTGCACCTTTACCCCTAAACTCAGGGCTGGCCTCTGTCCCCCCCCCCCACTCAAATGGAAGCTGGCTCACAGACCTGAGTGTTAAGGCCTAAACCCCTGTGGTCTTGAGTTCTAATCCTTGCATTGGACAACAATTTCTTAAATAGAATGTCGGAAGTAGCTGGCTCACAGACCTGAGTGTTAAGGCCTAAACCCCTGTGGTCTTGAGTTCTAATCCTTGCATTGGACAACAATTTCTTAAATAGAATGTCGGAAGTATCATCTATAACTGAGAAAAACCAATGAGTCAGATTTCATCACAGTTTAAGACTTTTGTGTTTGAAAGGACGGCATTAAGGAAATGAAGAGCCAGGCTACCCTGGGAGAGCGCTTGCAAACTGTGTCTGATAGAGGATTTCCGAGTGTTTGTATGTGTGCGCGTGGGCACGCGTGTCCATATGTGTACCAAAATGAGGCTCCCAATCTCCGCCTTTAGCTTGGATTACAGGCAGGGCCCACCACACCCAGCTCATAAAGCTGTCTGCAAAGCCTGGAAGGCTGCAGGAATTAGCTCCCAGCCTGAGAGGGTGGATTTGACCGTCCGAGTGACCCTGGCTCCATGCCTCGGTTTCCTCCGCCACACCGCGGGGAGGTGACGCAGGGCCGGGCGTGACAGCCCCTCCGTGCCACCGCGTGACTGACGCCCAGGGAGCAGCGGGAAGCGAGCCCCCATCCTGGAGACCCAGTCCAGGTGGCCAGACGTGAGTCAGCAAACCTGGAGTTCAAAGAGAACAACTTCACAGTCCTGACCCAGATTCAGAGCGAGGCTGTCCGGCCAAGGCCGCGGGTGTTGGCGGCCGGGCTGTGTGGCTCGCTGCCAGCCGGGCTCCATCCTGGACAGCCAGGCACCGTGGGCACCAGGTGGCGCCCGCCCATGCCTCCGCTCACAGCTCTCCCTTTCTCTTGCAGCCTGAGCGAGCCTCGGGATGGCAAGGCCTTCCGGATCTTTGAGGTCAGGCCGTGAGCGGAGGCGCAGCGCCGGGACCAGGACGCCGTCCACGTCCACGGGGCTTCGGGGTCTTGCTTTCTCTTTTCACTTTGTCATTGGGGGTGGGCGGGGACCTGGCGGCCGGGAGACTTGCTTCTGATGGTGTCTGATGTCACACCCCTGGCCTGAGGCTCACTGTGGAGCAGTGCCCCCGGGTCTCGGCTGGACAGCTGACTGGGGACTGGGCTGCCGGGGCCGGGGTCTCCATCCTGCTGGGGCCAGGGTCTCCATCCAGCAGCCTCTGACCTTTAGGGATCCAGCCCGGTTCTTTTACTTTGGTGATACTGGGATTCGAACTTGGGGCCTTGACTTGCCAAATTGGCTCTCATCACTCCAGCCACACCCTGCCCTGGCCCAGGACAGTTATGATGAGGGTCTTGTCATGTGTTCTCTTGGGGGGAGGGGAAGGACTCTAAGCCCCCCGAGAACGCGGAGTCTGAGTAGTGTCGGGGTGGGGAGAGGTACAGGGAACAGGCACAGATGCAGAGTAAGAAGGTTATTTAAAAAAATAATAAAGAACCACCGTCCATCCCTTCCAATGGAGAAGCATAGGTTTAATGTTTGCTGGTCAGACACATGGGGCTGGTGAGGGTTGAGGGGCTCCGGCTCTGCCCTGGTGGCGCCCTAACTCCAGCCAGGCTGCGGCCTGCGGTGGCCGCGTGCACCAAGTCCTCACGCAGCAGTGCTGGTTTATCCCGTCTCTGTCCCCGCTTGGTTCTCGTGGCCTGTCTGTTTCCTGCCGTGACTTTCGGTCTCCACGAGGACCGGCAACCCGGAGCCTCCTCCCATCCTCCCTGGGGCTCCTGCCCGACTCCGCTGGCTTCGGTGTCAGGACTCTGCTTTGCAAGCGTCCGTCCTTTCTGGGCCCCTGGGCCCCCACAGCTCCTGGAGAGGCCTCGGAGCAGTTGTTTGGCCGTTGCTGTGGGAAGGTGACAGTTTCCCCCTCTACCCCCCCCCATCTTGAGTGACCTAGTTTAGCTGGATTTCTGGGCACACTCCTCACAGAGGTTAGAGGCTTGGTTTGTGGCTATGAAACCACAAAGGCAGGGCCGCGAGGGGCACCCTTGCTAAGTTTTGGGGACGCTGCCCTTGCCAGCGTCTGCCAGGCTCCAGCGTGTGGCGAGCTCTGGCTTGTGTGGCTGGTGCAGCTCCACCATGGCCCCCAGGGACGTAGACACCCTGGGTGAACAGCAGAGGTAAATTCCCCCTCCCAGCAGGCCAGCCGGGAGACCACTGGGTGAACCCCGCTTCCCAATGGCAGCCCACTCTCCAACAGCACATTTCTTAGGCAAAAGACGGAGGAGAAAGGAAGAAAACTGCAGTGCACTGGGCCGAGCCCTGGACGCTCGGGCGGGGTCCGGGTCTGCTCTGAGAAGTTCTTGAACCCATGCAGAAGCACTTGGATGGCTTTTGTAACAGTTCAGCTCTTCGCTCCACTGTGCAAAACCTAGCAGGATTTCTCTGCTTTTTGTACCTGGTGGGCTGCTGTACCCCCTCCCGCATTGGCTCTTCACACCGTCGGTCACGGCAGAGGGGCTGGGCAGTCTCTTTGGCGTCTAGTTAGCGGTGAACATCTGGATGCAGGTGTGCACAGGCTGGGGGGAGCGGGGAGGGGAGAGAGGGAGGGAGAGCCGGGCGAATGCATCTTCCCTGGGTCTCTAGTGAGGGTGCCCTGAGCCAGGCCAGGGCAATGGACTGACTTCCAGGCAGACGCCCAGGGGTGAGTGGAAACTTCTGGTGTGAGTCCTTTTCAGTGTTTCGGGTTCTGTGGTGGAGCCCAGCTGGCTTGCTGTCCCCGTGAACAGTGTGGAACTGGAACCGTTTGTCTTCAGAAAGCTACTCCTTCGAACCTCCTACCCAGAGAGCGGAGCCGTGGGCTGCCGGCCCCGCGCTCCCGGGACGTGGCCTGTGCCCCGAAGGGACACCAAGCCAGCCGCAGTGCCGGGTTTGGGGTTCGCTTCGGCTTCAGGCTTTGCCCAGTGGTGATCTGAGTTTTCAATTAGCTGTAGGCCCACGGCCCGCGGTTCGTGTGTGCGCTTTTTTTCTATGAAAAATGATGTGTTTCACTGCCTCCGATGTACAAAAGCTGGTTGTAACCGTTCCTTGTGCCGCACGTGAGCTGGGGCCTCGCCGGCGGCTGCTGTTGGTCCAATCACACTGATTTGATTGCTAAAGTGTCCTTAATGTATCTCTTATGGGCAAGTCCACACAATCTGTACAATAAACATTTAAAACCTTCTCTCGGGATCTCAGCTGTCTGGGACCATCTCTGCTTCCGGGAGGCTGCGGCGCGGGCCTAGCCCAGCGCTGGGGAAGAGGCTGGGGCCCAGGTCACCCTGTGAGAATTTCTATCACTTCCTGAAACAACTAGACCTCAACAAAACCCCACAGGCCCCCAACACCTCGTCCCCCGGCTGCGGGCAGCCTGGCTGTGCCTTGTTAGAAACGCAGAGTCTCAGCTGGGCACCGGTGACTCACACCTGTAATCCCAGCTACTCGGGAGGCCGAGATCTGAGGATCGTGGTTCAAAGCCAGCCCAGGCAGGAAAGTCCACAAACCCTTATTTCCAATGAACTACCAAAGAGCCAGAAGTGGAGGTATGGCTCAAGTGATAGAGTACCTACTTCTCAGGTACTAGGCCCTGAGTTCAAATCCCTTGTAGAGGAAGTTCTGAGTCTGGCCCCTTTTGCTGGGTTGGGTTGGTTTGTTTTCTGCATTGACCTTCCAATTGTTCATGCCAAACCCAAACCTGACATAGACTGCTATGGGGCTTCTGGAAAAGTCTTTTAGACTCTTGAAAAAAAAATGCCTGTTGCCAAAGCAGGGCTTTGGAAAAGTTTGCCCATTCCTCTCTCATCTTGGACAGGTGAACTGGTGGTGGCCTCCAGCCAGGAGCCAGAGGCCAGCCCCCCCCGCCAACCCCCTGACAGCCCCCCAGAAAGCCCCCCTGCCAACCCCCTGACAGCCCCCAACAGCCCCTCTTGCCAGTCCCCTCTGCCAGCCCCCTGCCAGCCCCCTCTGCCAACCCCCTGCCAGCCCCCCTGACAGCCCCCTGCAAGACCTCCCTGCCAGTCTCACCCTGCCAGCCCCCCGAAAGCTCCCCCCTGCCAGCCCCCTGCCAGCCCCCTGCCAGCCCCCGGCCCGGCTTTGATGGGCAGCAGCCTCTGCGTGTGCCAGCCGAGGCTGGTGGACGGGCACCGACTCCCTCTGCTGGCCGAGGGCACAGGTTCACCGCCTGTCCCCAGCCAGGGACGGGGCTCACCGTGCCAGGTGTGGCCAACATGGCACGCGGCGGCTCCCGTCCCAAGCGCAGGCCTCGTTTCCTGCTTCTCTGGGGCTAATGCGTGTGCTGGCAACAGTGGCAGTGGGGCGGCGCACGCCTGCGAGCCCAGCTCGAGTCCGCGGCCGGGGACGGCAGGTTTGCGGCAAGCCGGGCTGCGTCACAAGAACTTGCCTCAAAAAAAGGAAAACAAGCTGGGTGCTGGTGGCTCACGCCTGTAATCCTAGCTACTCAGGAGGCTGAGATCTGAGAATCGCGGTTCAAAGCCAGCCCGGGCAGGAGAGACCGTGAGACTCCTATCTCCAATAAACTACCAGAAAACCGGAAGTGGCGCTGTGGCTCAAGTGGTAGAGCGCTCGCCTTGAGCTGAAGAGCTGAGGGACAGCGCCCAGGCCCAGAGTTCAAGCCCCACGGCCGACAAAAAAAAAGGAAAACAGAGTGCTGGGTGCTGCGGCTCACACGCGTGCTCCTGGCCGCTCAGGAAGCGGGACCTGAGGGCAAGGTGCAGAGCCAGCCCAGGCAGGAACGCCCCTGAGATCATCTCCACCAAAAAGCCAGAGGCAGAGCTGTGGCTCAAGTGGTGGAGTGCCAGCCTTGAGTGAAATACCGAGTGAGTGTGTGAGGTTCTGAGTTCAAGCACACACACACACACACACACACACACACGCACACACCCGGCATCTGGCTCTGGGGTGTCGCTCCTGGGATGAAGCTGACCTCCTGTAGCCTTCCTGTCCGCAGACGGACCCTGCCATGGTGCTGTCCCCAGCTGTGGGACTTCTGCCCGTCGCGGGGTGGCGGCTGGGCTGGGGCAGCGCCCCTTCCTTGGCTGTGGGTGAGGCCGCTGCGCTGCGGGGCTGGGAATCTCCGCCCACAGTGCGTTAGCATCCCTGCTTAAGGACGCGCAGGACAGAGCGCGAAGGAAGTCCCCCGGGACCCCGATCGTCATCGTCTCCCCACGGCTCCCCTCTCCCAAATTTTCATTCGTGCTTCATTGTGAATACTGGAAAGAGCAGACATGCTTACTCACCGCCAGGAATGGAGCCCGGGGAAGTTTCCAGAGGGTCAAAACAAGGCAGGAGTCCCCACGGGGGATGCGGGAGGTCAGTGAACGCAGCCGTGCCCCCCCATCTGACCCGCGGGGAGCAGCCCTCGGGGGGGCCTTGCGGGCGCTTCCCTGCATGTGTGTGTGTGTGTGTGTGTGTATGTGTGTGTGTGTGTGCGCGCGCGCGTGGAGGTCAGAGTCCCGCGGCCAGGATCACGCACACGGACATGGATTCACTCAACAGTGCCCAGCGCCACCCACGACCCCAAGGACCCGTCAGCCAGTGTAACCAGGGTGGACTCACCACCACGCCTGCGCGACACACGCTGCGGGTCCTGGGCCCTCAGGGAGACCATCCTCCAAATGCCCCCTGGGAACCGGTTATGTAAGTGTTCCCTGAGGCCTGGAAAGTTCCAGATGGCCCTGCGGCCCAGCCCACCAGCTGCTCTGGAGATGTCAGCACTGGCCACGGGCCCGGGATGTGAAGCAGAGCTGGACAGTCACCGCAGCCGGGCGACCCCCCCACAGCGCCTCCCAGCACAGGGGCCGTGGCGGGGTCCCCGTGACCCTGGACAACAGGCCCACAGTGCACACAGCTGTGCATCGGCCGGGGGGGTGGGGGGCTGTCCCTCCCTCCTGGCCAGGACGCCCCGACAGCCACGTGCAGGGAGCCCGGAGGCCCTGGGCCCGGTGGACGGCCCATCTCACGGGAGGCTCCAGGCTGTAGAGCAGCTGGCCACTGCTGTCCTACACCGGACGCCCCGCGTGCCCGCCCCTTGTGGGTGGGGTGCGGGGCTCCGGGCTGCCCCGGAGGGCTGCGGTGGCTCGGGGTGTGTGCTGAGGGCTGGCGTGGGAGGTTGGTGTCCGGTGGGCAAATCAGTGGCACAGCGCCCGCCGGTAGACGGGGCGTAGTCAGCAGAGGCTCTGGGCGGCAGGGGCGGCAGGGGCAAGGCCGGGCCTGGGCCAGGCAAAGCGCTGCTCCGTTCGCAAGGCCAGGCAGAGCCTCTGTCCTTCAGGCCCGCAGGGACCCAAGTGCCGAGCACCTGCAAAGGGTCGTGGAGGACTCTGCCCTCACGAAGGCAAATGGCTGACAGCAAATCAGTGTTCAAGAGAGCCAGTGTGAGCACCCCGGCTGGGGCCGAGTAGAACCCGAGGCTCCACCCGTGTGTGTGTGTGTGTGTGTGTGTGTGTGTGTGTGTCTGTGTGTGTGTCTGTGTGTGTGTCTGTGTGTGCAGTGCAGGCCTGCCGCCACTGGGGGGCAGCAGATCACCAGGGAGCCGGACGCCAGGGGAGTGCGCAGGGGAAGCAGGGCAGTGCGCCAGTCTCCCGAGTGACCTCCTCGGCCTCCCCCTCCTCCTCCCCTCCCTCCCCACTCCCTCTCCTTCCCTCTCCCCCTTCTCCTCCCCCTCCTCCTCCCTCTTCCCATCCCCCACCTCCTCCTTCCTCCCCCACTTTCTCCTCCCTTTCCTCCTCCTCCTCCTGCTCCTTCTCCTCCTCCCCTTTTCCTCCTCCCTCTCCCCCTCAGTACGAGCTCCCCAGCCTCCCCTCCCCCTCCTCCCCTTCTCCATCCTCTTCTTCCCCCTCAGTGTGAGTTCTCCAGCCTCC